CCCCATAATATTTGTCCAACTTTTCTTTTGTTTCCTTCGCCGTTTTGCCTCTCAAAAAATAATGTTTATGAGAGAACGAAAATCGTTTTTTTCCATACTCAACATGATGCCAAACACGTCAACAAAAATCGGCTGTCAAAACAAAACAAATGGCTGTATCGCGCTGAAATTTGACATGTCTGCCTAAATATGAATGGACTATAAGGCACCATAATTTTTTTTGCGATTGCAGCGCATTCTGGCGGTCAAGGAGGTTACTTTTCACCCCACCTAGTATTTTAAGCATTTATACAAAATTACAAATTTTTAATACGTTAACAGCAAAACTGAAGTAAATAAATTTTTACTTAAGAAAAATGCCAAATAAATATCTATCTAAATATTTTATATGTAATATACAGATTTTTATTTTACAGAGTTCACTTTGTAACAACGTACTTAATAATGGCCTAGTTTACACCGTGCGTTTAGGCCGCGACGCCCGCGACCTATACCTTATATTCAACCCAAACACGATAGGTCGCGACGATGTAAACAGTTGCGACCTCGCTTGGGTCAGGTCTCTTTTTCGTGTGCCCTGACCTAAATTAGGTCACACGACGTAACGCGTCTAAACGCAGGTGACCTAAAGATCGCCTAAAGTGCGGAGTAAACAAAGTACACACGATATTGGTTATGTATGAAGATGGCATTCACATGAGGACTAAATTTTTACCTATATTCGACCTAAAAGTATCATAAGTCTACATGGTGTAAACGTTCTGTTTAGAAGCCTATTTTAGGTCAGGGCATAGGTCAGGTCGCAATCAGGTCGCACGGTGTAAACTAGGCCTATGGCCTGTACTCACTTGATTACTTGTAAAAGATGTTTAGGTTTTTGATATTTTGTTATTGTGGAATTGTGTCTTCGAGATTGATTTTGGAGTACGCTTTGAAAATGATTTGTGACATGAGATGGACTATGAGATTCAGTTGGAAATACGACCGAATTTTGCTTCATAGAAAAATTAATTCCGGTCTGCACCCGCTGACGCCTTCGGAATATCATCTTTGTGGAAAGAACTTGCTTTTGTTGCTCGGCATCCATGATCCTCTCATAATCTTTCATTTCATAGATGCCTAATTTCTTATCTTTCTTGGATAAATCTGTTAAGCTTTCGCGCAAGAGTTGATTGACCAATTTAAATTTCATTTGTGAGCATCTGCATTATTGTATAGAAGCATATTAATATTATAACATGTATTTTAGAACTCTAATATCTATAATCTAATATAAATCAGAAAGTATTACTTAATAATATAAAACAAAATTACAGAAAATTATTGTTATAACATACTTTCAATGGTGATATTATGTATAATAAGTTAAGCAAGACAATAGTGACTATTAATTTTTCACTTATTAATTTTATGAATACTAATCTAATAAATACATAAATTTCTTGATTATTAAAAAGTTGATTTACATACTTCGCAAATATGAAGAATTCGAATATATTAATAGAGTTGACGATGAACGAATACGTGTATATGAGTAGAAGATAAATTGAAGTAAATACATCCGTGATTATGTTCAAGTGAATGAACATCATTGTCCACACAACGAAAACAAACGTTATCAAAACGGTTATGATTCCAATCATAACGAAGTATAATCTGTCATAATTCACCGTCAGTCCGAGCTGTTGCAACGTTTCATCGATCTCAAAGATCTTCTTGAGACAAACTTTAAATTTCTACAAATGTAAATTTACAATGTGATAAACTTTACAATTTATACGCATGATTTAGTTCTGAAAGTGTATTTTATGACTTGTATACCATGAATGCAGTTACAGTACAACATAATGTATCGCACATTTATTTTGCTCACCTTTGTGTGCCACCAACCTAGTAGCATTTTCAATATCATAGATACTAGAACGATATACATCAATAATTTCAATAAAGCATATTCCAGTTTCATCAGTTTAAGGCCCGCATAGTATCTTTGGTTCATGCGTAATATGCCACAACAAAATGTGATGTAAATAAACGCGAGATAAATCAGACTGAGTATAGGTCTCGGATTACCACGAGGATATTCGAAAGCGCGAAGTCCCACTATACAGTTGACAGTTGTCACCGGTGCTATAATCTCGGAAAAGCATTTAGGACGTGCAAATAGCTTCATCTCGTCAGATATTTAACGTCCGATATTTCTCAATTGTGATTTACTCGGACAAAAAATCTTCGTTTTTAGTTTTCGGCTGATCGAACATTTGATATACTCAAACTCAGGTTGGCGGTTAATATTTATAATAGCGAAGTAGTCGTACCTTCTTATTTTCATGCAAATTGTAATAGTGCTACTGCGTCTGGGGATAGACGTTTCGCTCAATACATTGACGAATTCGTTAACATAATTTTCATTTTTCTTCACGGTACCAATTATTTCACATTCATTCAACCGATAACTTGCTTATTTGTTCTCAGGCATCGTTAATTGAGGCTGTAGTAATTCTAATATTAATTACACCTTCTTTTTCATTTCTCCATATTTGTACACTAAATTCTATACTAAATTAACATATAAATAGCACAAAACGAATTATATTTCCCTATCTATGCGAGAATGATTGATGTCAGGTCAGTCACTAACGCGATTCACTATCTTTTCCAGATAACTTTATGTTTCCTTTAGTTCACAAGTCGATGATCCACCTTCGTCAATGGTCGAAGGAACATACTCGAGTTTCTTGCAATTGTCAGGATTAACATGGACGTGTCACATAAACGTGTACAAATAAGCCCCGCCCGATGGCCTTTGAAACGATTATATATATGTGTAGATATGTATATATATGTATATAAATAAATAAATATATAAAGGCTGCTATGCCAGCGGAGCAATAAGTAATTCATTGTAAAAACGTGTGCGGAAGAATCGCCTTTTTATTACCTTAATTCTGGTAATGTTATAAGACTCCACCCGGGATCTACGACACCCGTATGTGCTCAAAAAAAATAATTGCTAGCAGAATATCGCGCACAGTACAATGCTGAATATGCAGACGCTGCACGAGAGAAAAGTAATTTGAAGTAATGAGCCACTGGATTGCAACGCATTTGTTATACATATATGGCTTAACAAAACGCAAAAACATACTGACCAATTGAATTGTTAAAATGAAAAACATTGAAACTTGTACATAAAGACTACTATATATACTTTTCAACGAGAAATATTTTATATTATCTTGAGAGACTTATTCCTGGAAAATAATGGAATAATGTAAAAGCAGATTGAAGGAAAATCGGAAATCCACTATAAATTAACGATAAGCGTGAAAATTGTTTTTGCGTAAGAATTATAATTTATTTCTTATCGAATATGCAATACAATCAAAGCTAATAATCAAGTAATTATATTCGTTTCATCTGGCTTGTTTTCGAAATTGATATACATCAAAATAAAGTTTACCGTTTGATTATTTACTCATATTGTCATTTGTCCGCTTCATATTGTTTACGTATTTCATAAAATACGAACTCGAATAATAAAGAATAACGTTGCCTGAAAAGTGTTAACCTTTGCCTAAATGTAGAAATCTATTCAGCTTAGTAAGTACAAAGTGGCAGAAGGTTAATGGGGTGGGACTTATGGAGCAAAGAAGGAAGAATTTCCTAAAAGTTTCGTGGAAATCTTCCAGGAGGTGGAAAACCTGTGGAGAAGTCAAGATCACACGGTAGAAAAATAATATTGACAGAGATACCAGGAATATGCTTCATGTGAACTGGAGAATGTTAACATATATAAAGGGGATATTTAGAGGATGAGAACTTTGAGGAGGTGAAGACTGAATCTGGGTAGTAGCGCCATTGGGATGAATGAATTATTTAATATCTACCATTATTTAAAATGTTGAATGATGTATAGCATTATTCGATTCCAATTCATTGGCCATTTGTATCACGATAACCATGTATATCGTCAAGATTTTCAAAATCTATAAACAAGAAAAGTTAAATATACTGCATTTATTACATGATCGGGGTAAATTTATAAAACTTATTTCCACACAATTTATAAAAAGTGCTAAGAGACCATTATTTAGCGTTTTTAATTGTAAACTTTGTCGTATTTGCCAAAATGATCGATATAACGACAACCACCCGTATGTAACAATTTGATACGAACCATGCTTAAGACACGATTGTCCAGAGTAAGACTAAACGCAGAAAATGTCACGGGGCTTTGCAAAATTTGAAGGCCAAACTGTTGAATCTGAAACAATTTCAAGCGATAATTAGATAATATACATATAGCAGCAACTATATGTTAATGTATTGCAACAAACGAACTTCTTCCTTTATATCAATATCTGTATTGCAACCATAAATCGAATGAATGATTTCAGCGGTTCTGTTTCCCTATAAATAAATGTTATGTAAAAGTTACTGTATCTCGATCGTTAATTCGATTGTGGACTATAAAACCAGTTACCTCATCAGCTGCATTCTTGCAAACGCGATTCAGAATAAAGATTTTCATAACGTGATAACAACACAATAACAACGTCATAAACGTATGTTCTGTCCAATATTTTATATCGTGTGCTCATAATGTATGGAGTATACAAATTATAAAGAGATACAATAAGATTCATAATAATTACTCCTATGTCCCAAGCTACTTGTACTCCAAGGATAGTGGATACTATTTTCGTTACTTTACACACTTTCAGGTGTACCTGTCTTAAAAACACTCAAAGATAATCAGAAATATTTTTATTGAATGTTGTCTTTTGTTTCTCAATATTTTTTAAGAAATTTGACTTGAATATTTTAAGCATTTGTACAAAATTACAAATTTTAAATACGTTAACAGCAAAACTGAATTAAATAAATTTTTACTTAAGAAAAATGCCAAATAAATATCTATCTAAATATTTTATATTTTATGTGTAATATACAGATGTTTTATTTTACAGAGTTCACTTTGTACCAACGTACTGAATAATTGCCTCTACTCACCTGATTACTTGTAAAAGATGTTTAGGTTTTTGACATTTTGTTATTGTGGTATTGTGTCTTCGAGGTGGATTCTGGAGTACGTTTTGAAAATGATTTGTGACATGAGATGGAAAGTGAGATTCAGTTTGAAATACGACCGGATCTCGCTTCTTCAATATAGAAAAATTAATTCCGGTCTGCACCCGCTGACGCCTTCGGAATATCATCTTTGTGGAAGAAACTTGCTTTTGTTGCTCGACATCTATGATACTCTCATAATCCTTCATGTCAAAAATGCCTAATTTCTTATCTTTCTTGGATAAATCTGTTAAGCTCTCGCGCAAAAGTTGATTGACCAATTTAAATTTTATTTGTGAGCATCTGCATTATTGTATAGAAGCATATTAATATTATGACATATATTTTAGAACTCTAATATCTATAATCTAATATAAATCAGAAAGTATTACTTAATAATATAAAACAAAATTACAGAAAATTATTGTTATAACATACTTTCAATGTTGATATTATGTATAATAAGTTAAGCAAGACAATAGTGACTATTAATTTTTCACTTATTAATTTTATGAATACTAATCTAATAAATACATAAATTTCTTGATTATTAAAAAGTTGATTTACATACTTCGCAAATATGAAGAATTCGAATATATTAATAGAGTTGATGATGAACGAATACGTGTATATGAGTAGAAGATAAATTGAAGTAAATACATCCGTGCTGATGTTCAAGTGAATGAACATCATTGTCCACATAACGAAAACAAACGTTATCAAAACAGTTATGATTCCAATCATAACGAAGTATAATCTGTCATAATTCACCGTCAGTCCGAGCTGTCGCAACGTTTCGTCGATCTCGAAGATCTTTTTGAGACAAACTTTAAATCTCTATAAATGTAAATTTACCATGTGATAAAATTACAACTCATACGCATGCGCGCATGGTTTTCTTCTAAAATTGTATTTTATGATTTATATACCATGAATGCGGTACGATACAACTATAACGTATCGTACCCTTATTTTGCTCACCTTTGTGTGCCACCAACCTAGCGACATTTTCAATATTACAGATACTAGAAGGATATATATCAATAATTTCATTAAGGCATATTCCAGTTTCATCAGTTTAAAGCCCGCAAAGTAATTTTGTTGCATGCGTAATATGCCACAACAAAATGTGATGTAAATAAACGCGAGATAAATCAGACTGAGTATAGGTCTTGGATTACCACGAGGATATTCGAAAGCGCGATGTCCCACTATACATTTGACAGTTGTCATCGGTGCTATAATCTCGGAAAAGCATTTAGGACGGGCAAATAGCTTCATCTCGTCAGATATCTAACATCCGATATTTCTCAATTGTTGTAACTTACTCGGACAAAATATCTCCGTTTTTAGTTTTCAGCTGATGGAACATTTGATATACCCATACTCAGGTTGGCGGTTAGTATTTATAGAAGCGAAGTAGTCGTACCTTCTTATTTCCTTGCAGATTTTAATGACGGTGCTACTGCGTCTGGGGATAGACGTTTCGCACAAGACATTGACAACTTCGTTAACTCAATTTTCATCTTTCTTTACGGTGCCGAATATTTTACATTCTTTCAACCGATAACTTGCTTATTCGTTCTCATGCGCGTTTTAGCGATAATTGAGGCTGCAGTAATTCTAGCATTAATTACACCTTTTTTATTTCTCGATATTTGTATATTCTATACTAGATTAACGTGTAAATAGCACACAATGAATTATATTTTCCTATTTAAGTGAGAATGTTTGATGATTATATCAGCTCGGTCACTAACGCGATTCACTATCATTTCAAGATAACTTTACGTTTTTTGTATTTCCCAAGTCGATGATCCACCTTCGTCAATGGACGAAGGAACATACTTGAGTTTCTTGCAATTGTCAGGATCAACATGGACGTGTCACGTGCGCAAATAAGCCCCGCCCAGTGGCTTTGAAGCGACTATATATCTATAAAAAGCAAACTGTGCCAGTAAAGTAATAAATAATTTCTTGTAAAAACATGCGCGCAAGAGTCGCCTTTTATTACTTTAATGGTAGTAATACCATAAAACAGCATGACAATACCCGCTGAAAGAGGGTAAATGCTGACAGAAAATTGCGCATAGCACATTGTTGAACGCGCAGACGC